TGACACATTCTGTGACGTGGGGCACTTCACCTCTCTAAGCTTTCATTTCCCCCTCTGCCCATCTGTTCCCCACAACACAGAACTCCAACAAAACTGATTCGGTGGCCCTGCAGCCACCGGCTCCCCTGCTGGAAGTTTCACCTATAACTCTACCATTTCTCTACCTGATTCGTCACTCACGCCTACCTCCCCCAGCTACCCGGGCTGTCTAATCCCTCCTTCTCCAGCTCCCACTGCCCTTGATTTATGACTGTCTCGTTGCCTTTGTCCCGCCGGGTTCTGGTCAGTCTTCAGTGCGCTGTGGGCTGCTGGGTGGCTGAGCCTGCCCCTTCCTTGCCTTCCTAGCACCTGGCTGTGCCTGGCACGTGAATGTCCCCATCAGTAAAAGCTGTCTGCGGAGGCAGGATTGCTTCGAGCCGCCCTCCAAATGGAGCATGCGGGCTGGGTCAGCTCAGGATGGGCCAGCTTTCAGATGTGCATTGTTTCTTTCTGCCCTTGGCCCTCCCTCTGCCCCCTGCTTTAGAGACAACAAAGAAGCAAGACGTTTTTCCCTCCGGTTTTTAGTTTCAAAAGTCTCAATACCAAGAAGCACAAAAAGTATCTAGAACTTAAGTCACAGACACGACATTTGGGAGAAAATGTGATGAACAAGAGTCAGGCTTCCTCCTCAGGGACCGCAAGACCCCCCAGGATGTGAGGGGGAGGAAGGCAGGAGAGGGTCCATGAGAGTTTAGGTTCCAGTGGGTTCCAGGAAGGGGAGAGGGTGCAGTTCTGTGAGAATGTGGAAGCGGAGCCAGACAGGAAAAGGGTTTGGTTGAGGCCAGACCTCGCAATGCATGAGTGCAGGCTCACGAGGGAAGAGGTTTTTCCCTAAAGAGCAAATTTACACAAAAAAGGAGGTCCGCTTGAGCAAGGGCTGGGGCAGAGGAGAAACAGAAGTAGTAGTCACAAGCAATCTTTTAAATCCAGACGACTCTGTGTGTGTGTGTGTGTGTACATGTGTGACATGTGCACGCACGCATGTGTGTACATGCCTATGTGACCATCATGTGTGTGTATGTGCACACGTGTATATGTTGTGTGTGCATTTTTGTGCATGTGTGTGCATGCAGATGAGTACACAGTCACGCATGTGTGTGTGTGTATGTGTGTGCGTGCGTGTGTGCACGTATATGTGTGTGTGTGCGTGTGCGCGCGAGTGTGTGTGTGCGTGTGTGTGCGTGTATGTGTGTGTATGTGTGTGCACATGTGTGCGTGCATGTGTGTGCATGCAGATGAGTACACATTCGCGCATGTGTGTGCATGTATGTGTGTGTGCATGCGTGTGTGTGTGTGCGTGTGTGTGTGCGCGCGCGTGTGTGTATGTGTGTGCGCATGTGTGCGTGCATGTGTGTGCACACTTCTTTCTACCCCCGTGTCAGCCCAGGACCTCCTTGGCAACCACATGGATTCCACTAAAGTATATGAGCGTCCTAGCTCGGCTGCTTCCCTAAAGCCACTGCCCTTTCTGCCACCAAGAGCCGAGCCAGGAAACAGAGAGGGAGACGGGTCGGAGAGAAGAGGCAGACAGCGAATGCCAACACCTCCTGGGTTCAGCTGCCAGTGGCCTTTGGCCAGATGGCTCCTGGATGGCAATTCTAGCCACGAGCCCCCGACACTACCACCCAACCTGGCGCCAGCCCAACCTCAGCCAGGTCTTCTCACCTTTCTTCTGTCGCTTTGCTGTTTTCCAAGCCAAGACTGAGGCCGCCACCAAGAAAAGCAGCAACACGGCAAAGACGAGGGGCAGGAGGACACTGAGCTTCATAGAGTCACTGCTGGAAACAACAGGAGACGCCCATGCACCCTGGCTCACCTCCCGCCTCTGGGATCTCTCCCATCCTCCTGGTTCAGGCCACGCGTCTTTGGCGTGTGGTATCTAGCCTGGGAACCCCCACTCCTGGGTGCCCTCAAAAATGGTTTTTAAGAAAAAGCAAAGGAGGGTTCCGCAAGGTAGTTTTTCAACGGGTCGAGAAGCCTATGAGTGACACAGGCACCGAAAAGGCCTCCCTGATACTACACTTGTCCTCTGTCCTGGGTAAATGGTGTCCACCAGCCCATAATTCACATTCACCTGGAACCTGTGAAGGTGACCTATTTGGAAATAAGATCTTTGCTGACATAACCAAAATGAAGTCACACTGGATTAGGGCGGACCTAATCCAATGACCGGTGTCCTTGTAAAAGGAAAATTTGGGCACGCAGACACGTGCGTGGGGACGGCCATGTGAGGACAGATGCAGAGACCACAGTGACACTGCCACAAGCTGAGTAATAGCAAGGATTAGCGGCAGCCACCAGAAGCTAGGGGAGAGACTCGAGACGGTTTCTACCTTTGAGCCCCAAGGAGCCGACCCTGTCAACACCTTGATTTCAGATTTCTCACCTCCTGAGCTGTGAGAAAATACACTGTTGCTTTAAGCCACCCAGTTTGTGGTATTGGTATTTCATTATGGCAGCCACAGCAAACTAATACATCTTCCTGTAGTTCATCATCAACAGAGCAGCCAGGGGAATCCTTTTAACCAAAAGGTGGAGCACATCCCACCTCTGCTTAAAATCCTGCAACAGCCCCACTTCATTCCAAGAAAATGGCCAAGGCTGACGATGGCCTCCACTCCCCCAAAACCCTCTTTCCTCATTTCTTACAACGCCTACCCTTGCCTGCTCTGCTGGGAGGGAAATGACCAGGGTCCTTATGAGAAGAAGAGATGGGGACACAGACACACAAAGGGGAAACCATGGGAAGACACAGGCAGACGACGGCCATCTACAAGCCCAGGACAGAGGCCCTGGAAGAAAGCGCCCTGCCGAACACATTGATTCAGACGTCCGGCCTCCAGAATTATCCAGACACAAATGCCTGTCGTTTAAGCCGCCCAGCCTGTGGCGCTTTGTTATGCGGCACGAGCTGACTGATGCAAGGATGGTCTCGTATTCATCACCAGTCACAGAACTTTACAGAATAAATACAT